TATGGTGTATATATAGGGTATATATATGTATATATATTTATATACTATTAGCTTCATTTAACTTAAAACTCTGTACCTACCAATCGTGTTTCTTTGTTCTGTGAACGGGATATTTTCCACCAAAGTGAAAGTTAACATACCGTGCATAATTAATTGATCATTAGGGCCTATAGAAACCAAAACTTGTGGTAAATTGCAGTTCTGTCATGATATTTACAGGCTTGTAACAAGGTATCCTTAAGAGGGAATTTTCTATGAGAGTCAGAGGTAAAGGTGGTGTACTTGAAAAATCATATTAAAAAGAATAAATTTAAATTAACTTACCGATAACATCTTGCTTGTTAGCAATGACTACGAGTGGAAGATCTCTTTGTGCTTCAAAATATTGATGCTTGAGTACGTTATGTAGTGTTTCCTTGGCTTCTGTGCTGCGATCGTGGTCACTGCTATCAACCACAAATACTAAAGCTATATTGAACAATAAATTATTGGGTATTTTTAATCAAGAATGAACGGTAAACCATTTCCATTTAAATATTAGGTTAACGATGTAGATTTCTAAAGTTTAACATTAAATATGAAGTACAAGTATAAATTTCTAAAATCAAATTACCATAAAGATAAGCTTATTACAGTAGGCCTACTGTTAATAAGGATTAGGCCTAGACTAACAACGCAAAATTACGAAACAAAATGAAATAAGAAATAGAACCGTATGCATGGTAGAGGTCACAGGGAAATTTGATTCAAAATATAGGGTGTTTTTTTTATTATTATTATTTTAGTCTTCACAAAATGCTTGGATATAAAAAACATAAATATAGGCCTAGTAATATAATATATATAAAAAACAATATGAAATGTAATATGTCCATTAGTATTTGAGTGTTTTCCTGTTATTAACATATCATTGATACAACAGGACGTACTTGTTCTTTGAATTAATGACGTTTGATAAGAGAAAAAAAAATCGAGGAGGAAGTTGTATTTTATATCCTGGTAGCTGCTTGGAATATTGTACAACACTCGCAACGCCACTTTTAATTATCTGTATGACCAGAAGAATTAAACAAACGAGTAAAATAAACAATAGGCGTACATTTAAAAAAAACACAACCACTATATAATATGGTGATAGTGATTTTTTTAAATGTTAGCTAGAGTTATCGTCAGGACGTACTAAAACTGGAAATCTACAGGCACTATAGCACCCCACCCACCCTAATCGATTTCACACTTTATTATTTGGTTGCTGCTGGGAGGGGCAAGCGCCCCTGGATGGGAGAAACATGTTAATCAAATATTTGTTATATTGTACTGAAACACAGACTTACCCTCGGTGTTTGCGAAGTAAAAATCCCATGAAGATCGTACGTCTTTTTCGCCTCCGACTTCCCAAACATTAAGTTTCGAGGTACCGGTGTCGTCTACGTCCATGTCTGCCACTGTAAATCCAAATGTCGGGCCAGACACTTTCTCTATGTTTCTATCTAATTTAGCGTTTATTGCAGTCTTTCCTGGTAGACGAAAACGTAGAAATTTGGAAATTATAAGTTTTAAATGGTGCTACAGCAACAAGAATAATATCAATCCTATTCAATTTCGCAAAACGACATCGAAATAACAATAATATCGATGCTTAACAATATCAATTTAGCAATAATAATACACATAATAATGATGATGATAATAACGATAAAGGTGACAATGACAATACTAATGACAATGACAATACTAATGATAATAATATTAATAATAATAATAATAATAATAATATTAATATGAAATAATAACAATCATCATTATTATTATTTATATATTAATATATTAATATTAATATATTACATTAATAATAATAAATAATATTCTTATTCCTATTGTTATAAAAACCAATCTCCGGAAATACAGGGATTAAAATAATAAAGCAACGTGAAGCTCCGCTAACCCTAGCTAGATCTTTAAGACGCCTAGTATAACTTGCTGGTAGTATTGAACCGATAGAAAGGCGATCGCCTTTCACAGCACTTTCATTTCCTTCATGTTTGACATGATTTTGTGTAGACCTTTAACTTATACTAGAATATCTTTTTTATACAGTACAATAAAAATACTATTCATCATTTTTTTCAAACATACACCGGCAGCAGCAACTTGATTTAAATATATA